CCCACCACCACCACCACCACCACCACCACCACCGCCACCACTGCGCCGGCCGCAACCATGTCGCTTGCCCAGGAGAAGCACGAATGGGGCGCCGTCCGCGTGCGCCAGACCTTTCTCGACTACTTCAGGGAGCGCGGACACACGTTTGGTATGCTCTCAGCCCCCCACTGTGCCTTTGCTGCCCCTCTCTCTCCCCAGCATCATGTCAATTGACTCCCACAACAACAGTGCCTTCCTCGTCGGTCGTGCCCCTCTCCGACCCCACGCTCCTCTTCACCAATGCGGGCATGAACCAGTACAAGGCCATCTTCCAAGGCACAATCGACCCCTCGTCCGACTTTGCCCAGCTCAAGCGCGCCGCAAACTCGCAAAAATGCATTCGCGCCGGCGGAAAGCACAACGACCTCGACGATGTCGGCAAGGACAGCTACCACCACACCTTCTTTGAGATGCTGGGCAACTGGAGCTTCGGCGACTACTTCAAGAAGGAGGCCATTGGCTTCACCTGGGAGCTGCTCACAAAGGTCTACGGCATCGACCCCAAGAGGCTCTATGTCACCTACTTTGAAGGCACCGACGAGCTGGAGCCCGATCTCGAGGCCAAGGAGCTGTGGCTCAAGGCTGGCGTGCCCGAGGACCACATTCTGCCCGGCGACATGAAGGACAACTTTTGGGAAATGGGCGACCAGGGTCCATGTGGGCCTTGTTCAGAGGTACACTATGACTTGAGGGAGCCGGAGAATGGTCAGTACAGGAACGCCGCTTCGCTCGTCAACATGGACGATCCCGAGGTCATTGAGATCTGGAACAACGTCTTCATGCAGTACAACCGCGAACCCGACCGATCACTGCGACCACTGCCCAACAAGCACATCGACACCGGTATGGGATACGAGCGACTCGTCTCGGTGCTGCAACACAAAAAGTCAAACTACGACACTGATGTTTTCACGCCATTGTTCCACAAGATTCAGGAAATCACTGGAGCACGCGAGTACAGGGGCAAGTTTGGTGACGAGGACCCGGATGGCATCGATACCGCATACCGAGTCGTCGCAGACCACGTCCGAATGATGAGCTTCGCCATTGCCGACGGTGGTGTACCAAACAACGTTGGCCGAGGGTACGTTGTGCGCCGAGTGCTGCGAAGAGGTGCTCGCTATGCGCGCAAGTACTTTGCCTGTGACATTGGCGACTTCTTCTCCAAGATTGTCCCCACGCTCGTCGACCAGATGGGAGACATGTTCCCCGAGATTAGGAAGAAGCAGCAGGACATCATTGAGATACTGGATGAGGAGGAAAAGGCCTTTGCCAAGTCGCTGGATCGCGGTGAAACTATTTTCGAAAAGTATGCGCAAAAGGCCAAGACGAAGGGATCGGATGAGCTGCCAGGAGACGATGTCTGGCGGTTGTACGACACGTACGGTTTCCCTGTCGATCTGACAAAACTCATGGCTGAAGAGCGGGGCTTGAAGATCAATGACGAGGAAGTCGAGGTGGCACAAGAAAAGGCCCGCGAGGCCAGCAAAGGCGACAAGAAGGCTGCTGGTCTGCTTGTCAAGTTTGACGTACACGACCTTGGTGCGCTGGAAAACATGCCAGAGGTTCCAAAGACGGACGATTCACCAAAGTTTGGCCGCGAGAACATCACTGCCGTCATCAAAGCTATATATCACAACAAGAAGTTCCTCAAGTCTACTGCTGAGGTGCCAAAGGGCGAGCAGTTTGGTGTCTTGCTGGATCGCACAAATTTCTATGCTGAGCAAGGTGGTCAAGAATTCGACACTGGAAAGCTGTTGGTTGACGGCGAGGCTGAAATCAGCATTGAAAATGTCCAGGTGTATGCTGGTTATGTATTGCATACTGGTTACATCAAGTACGGAGAGTTGAGTGTAGGAAGCGAGGTCATTGCTGAGTTCGATGAGCTGCGGAGACATCCTATCCGTAATAACCACACAGGCACACACGTCCTCAACTACGCTCTTCGCGAGGTACTCGGCAATGAAGTCGACCAGAAGGGTTCGCTCGTTGCACCAGAGAAGCTGCGTTTTGACTTTTCACACAAGGCCGGTTTGTCAGATGCTGAGCTTGACAAGGTGGAGAAAATCTCATCCACGTACATCAAGGAAGATAAGCAAGTGTATGCCAAGGAGGTACCGCTTGCGTCTGCAAAGGAGATTCGAGGCGTACGTGCCGTCTTTGGCGAAACATATCCTGACCCAGTCCGTGTCGTCTCGGTCGGTGTGCCCGTCGAAGAGCTCCTCAAAGATGTCAAGAACGAACAGTGGGAAAAGCTCTCAATTGAGTTCTGTGGTGGAACCCACGTACTCAAGACTGGTGAGATCAAGGACCTCGTCATCCTGGAGGAATCCGGTATCGCAAAGGGCATCCGCCGTATCGTCGCCGTAACAGGCCAAGAAGCCTACAACGTCCAGCGCGTCGCCGGCGAGTTCCAAGAACGCGTCGAAGCCATGGGCAAGATGCCATTTGGGCCCCAAAAAGAAGCCGAAGCAAAGAAAATCGGTGTCGACCTCAACAACCTGACCATCTCAGCCCTGTCAAAGAACAAACTCCGCGAGCAATTCGCCAAGATCCAGAAGAGCATCCTCGACGAACAAAAGGCCGCGGCCAAGGCTGATAACAAGCGTGTTCTGGATGAGGTGACCAAGTTCTTTGAGGATGAGAAGAACAAATTCATGGTCAAGAAGCTCGACTGGTCAAGTAACGTCAACAAGGCCATTAGCGAAGTCATCAAGACTATCTCTGGTCCCAAGAGTGCACTCAAGGATCGTTCATTGTACTTGTTCTCCGCTTCGCCTGACGAGGGCAAGGTGGTTCACGGGTGCTATGTTAGTGAGGTGAGTGTTTTTTGTTTTTTTTCTTTTCGCATTCCCCTCCCCTTCCCAACTCTACTCGCTTAGAAAAAAAGAAAGAATGAAGAATTGCTAATATATATATCAATAAATAGCCCTTCAAGAACGCAGGCGCAGACGGCCCCAAGTGGGCTTCGGCAGTCACGCCTATTATCGGCGGTAAGGCGGGTGGCAAGCCTGGTGCTCCAACTGCGATTGGCCAGGGTACCAATGTGGATAAGGTGGATGAGGGCGTTGAGGAGGCGAGGAAGTGGATTGAGAATTTTAAGTTGTAGGTGTTTGTTGTTGTTGTTGTTGTGGAAGAAATAGGGTGGGTGATTTTGATACATAGATGGGTGGTGAATAGACGCATAGTCTGAAAATTTGAAGCTTGTACGATTAATTTTGTTTTTTCTTTCAAATAAGTGGGAATAGGGAGTTGATGAAAGATGATGATTGTGTGGTGGTATTTTTCCAATTCTTGCATCACCTGTGCCTTGATCAAATCCTAAACCATAAGCCTTGCGTTTTTTTTTAAAAAAAAAAGGAGCGAAAGATTTTTTCTGAAAAAAACAACCAAACTAAACTTTCTCTCATCTACTACTACTACTACTACTACTACTACAAACCCCACCTCCTTCCTCATCTCCACATCACCCCTTCCAAACCAACAAAACATACCACAACCCCCCACACAGCACCACGGTCCCCAAGCCACTCCCAAGTTCGTCGCAGAAAATCTCCAATCCACCTTTCCTCCTGCCACTCCTTGCCACTAACCTTGCACTCTTGGCCGTACCAAGACTACCAGGACTGCTATTCTGATAACTCGCATAAATCCTCGGTTTGTTTGCCCTCAGCTCCTCATTCTCCGCAGCAATGTTACTGCGCGTATGGGCTCTCGTGGTGCGAACGCCCGGCTTATGACTTGTACTGCGATCAGACGACGTGGACGAGTGTGACGAGTGAGTTTCGTATTCCGAAGAAGAAGAAGAAGGGGCCATGCGTTGGGCTGTTGATTTTTCGTGTTCGGCAGAGGAGATAGAAGATGGGGGTGTGTTGATAGTGGGGAGGAGAGGGGCCTCGGGAGCCTCGGGGGTTGTGGGTAAGATGCCTGTGGCCAGGAGGGCGGCGCGGAGGGTCAAGAGTGCAACGGTGAGGCCGAAGAGGAGGCCGTATTTCAAAAAGGTACCGATTTGGTCGGGCAGAATGCAGAGTTTGGACTGGACTGTTTTGCTGGCGTCGCCCGTCTTGGGGTTGCCGTGCGAGTCGACGGGGTTCCAGAGGGAGAGGAGCACGATGCCGGGGAGGCGAACGCCCATGGCCCAGCTGATGCTCTTGACGGTTATCTCGCGAATGCCGCCGCCGGCGCTTGTATAAGCTTTGTGCAGCACCTCGCAGTAGTCGTGGTCATCGCCCGAGAAGGCGTAGCGGATGTCTCCGACCTTTTCAGCGATATCGGCTGTGATTTCGCGGTTGAGCACGTTCTGGTACTGGTATCCACCGCGCACAGAAATGGCATTGCGGTCGTCGTGTTCCAGAGGCGGTTGGCCAGGTGGAGGAGGGGTTGGAGGCCAGTGCTCGCGAAGAGGGCCACAGGGCGTGCCTGGCGGGCGGAAGAGTGGAACGTGTGACAATAGAATGGTTGGGAACTCAGTCACATCGTCGTTTGCATGTGGGAGCTGAGACTTTGACAAATCCTCGGCTTTGATATCGTAATGAGGCATGCCCGGGTATGGTCTCAGACCCTGTTGGGCGCGGAGTTCGCGTTGTACAAGCCGTCTCTTACGCTTCTTTGCATCCTCCAGAAAGTCCTTTGTAGGTCGCCAGATGTTTTCCACTTGCTCAGGTGATTCCTGGCCCAGCGCACTCAGCGATACGCTGTCAATTGAGACAAACGTGTGGTTTGCAATAACATCGATCCTGTTACCATCGCCAAAATAGGCATTGAAACGGTTCCTGACCCCAATCTGAACACCTCTTGCGAATCCCAGGTCGTGATTGCCAGGCAGACTGGTTATCAGCTTCCTGCCTGGCTGCCCCGGCCGTGGCTCCATGCCTCCATCGCCCCAATGCTTGAAAAATAAATCGCTAAAACGCATGTATTCCTTCTGCCAAAAGTCGTTGCCATATCTGTGGTACTGCTGCTCGGGTGAGGTGGTTGTGCGCGTCGACCACTCACGGCCGCCGTCAAAGAGGTCACCGAGGAAGAAGATGGTATCTGGATAGAGAATGGTTTGGAAGCGCGAGTACGTTCGTCGTAGGTAGAGGTCGGTGTACTTGTAGGCCAGGGGATTGAGAGGCCACGGGCGGCCAGGATACGTATGCGGGTCAATGAGCTGCGGGTCGGCGACAAAGATGAGCCTATGTGGGTTTGCGCCGGCTTCCTACATGTCGCGGTCAGCTTTGCGCATTCCTTGTTCATCATGTCTACCATTTCCATACCCAGTCTTCCCACTTGTTCCAGTTGCAGCTCTCGATGGCGCTGTTGAAGACGCCTCGCTCACCCCAGTACAGGACAAACCACCATACTACAACGAGCGCATTCACCAGACTGAAAAGCTGGCGGGGACTCCATGTGGAATTGCGTAGGGCATTCCGCCTCTCCTGCACTGCAGGACGTATCCGGTACAGGTAGAATGCTCGGGCAAGCCTCCAGGCTTGGTATGTCAAACTCTCTGGCTCAGAGTATGCGCCGACGGGAACGCCATACTCGTCATATGTCGTCATTGTCTGATGGAAAAGAAGAGGAACGACTGGCGCAGCATCTTTGGACCAAGAGGGTGTGAGTGTGCAAAAAAAGTGGCTACGCGGTGGTAGTCATTGTGCTTGGGAAATGCTCAAAGGGGGGCAACTCATGTGCGGCAGTCGTGGTCTGGGTCTTGGGTCTGGGGAAATTGCGGCCAGGGTCCAAGGGCCAGCTTGCGGTACCGCGGGTTGCCTCTATGCGGCCTACACCTAGATTTCACTATGCACGCACACTCAACAGTACAGTCATCATGCTCCAACAATTCAAGACAATGATGAACTTGTAAATGATATGATTTCAAAAAGAACAGGCTATAAGTACAGACAGTATGGGAATCCAACCTCTAGTATTCCAGAGTAACCTTTTGACCCTTGACGCGTCCAATAACAATTTCGGGCGCATACTTGGGAATAACCTCATCATCGTGCAGCATCTCAAACTCCTCGGAAGCGTCCTTGCCCATGTGGCTGAAGAGCGCCTGGGGGCCGCCTGGGTGCTCGTCCGTCCAGTTGGTGACGTCCATGACAATGCCCTTTACGGCAATCCACAGATCGTCCTTCTTGTTGTGCTTGGCAACCTCCTCGAGCGTAAACTCCTTGTCAGGGATGGTGAACTTTTGGGGCGCATTGGGCTTGGAAACTTTGCCCGGGTCGCTCGAGTCGGCCTTGCTCGACAAGACAGGCGCCGCCGACGCCTGCTTCTGTTGTGCAACGGGGTCTGCCGAGCTGACACTAGTCTGCGAGCTGCTAACACCGTTGCCCCACTCTACAGACACCTTGCCAGGCTGCGACGGGTCAATGTGGAGCGAGATTTGACCGAGACGAGATACGGCAGCACCACCGGACTTGTTGAGCGCCTGTTGGAAGAGGTACTTGGATGCAGACTCTCCTGCTACGCGACCGTAGACAACGCAGCCCAGAAGTGATGATCCGCCGAGACGGTTGGCGCCGTGGACACCGCCAGCAAGCTCACCGCAGACATACAGACCCTCGAATGGCTCGCCGTTGGAGTTCAAGCACTGTGCCTGGTCGTTGATCTCAATGCCACCCATGGTGAAGTGGAGCACAGGCTCCATCTGGGCAACGTGGAAGGTGTCGTTGATGTCAAAGGGCAGGTTGTGGAAGTACTTCTTGTTCCACTCATCCTTCTTCTCGCCCTTGGCAATCGAGTTGTAGCTCTGGAACTCGGCCTGGAGCTCCTTCTCGCTCACACCAATCTCCTTGGCCAGCTCCTTACCGGACATCTTCTTCATCAGGCCACGGCCAGAGTAATGCCTGGTGTGGAAGTCAAGGATGTTGGATGCCTTGGAGTTGAGCACGAGGCGGATGGGCCAGTTGCCCTTCTCCTTCTCGCCCCACATCATGCCGGAGACGTAGTCACGGTGGCCGAGGTCATCGCAGAAGCGCTTGCCCTTGTTGTTGAGGAGGATACCACCCTCACCACGGAGAGCTAAATAATATCAGCGCATGTTTGCCGCGTGTGAGTGTGCATAAACGTACCTTCGGCAGCCAGGAACTTGGTCTTGGCCGTGGGATCCTTGGGGTCTACCAGACCAGTGGGGTGGACCTGGACCTTGTCCATGTCAATGCCATTGGCACCAATCTTCATGAGCATCTTGTGTCCGTCACCAGTGGCGTGGGCGCCGTTGGTGGTGGAGAGGTCGTACGTGTCTGGCCTCCACTTCTTGAGAAGGGAGTCTTCTGTGAAGTCGGCAGCGTAACCACCAGTGGCCAGGACGACGGGGCCCTCGAGCGTGGTCTCCTCGCCGTTGAAGGTATATGTGACACCGGTGGCGCGGTTGCCCTCGGTGTTGACCTTGGTGACCTTGGCCTTCTTGACCAGCTGGACGCGCTCGGGCTCTTGCTCGGCAAGCTCTTCGAATCGCTGCATCAAGGCATATGTGATGGCCATGCCGGGGAACTTTGCATCGTGGCCACGGTGGGTTCGGGGCTGGGAGTGACCACTGGCGAGCTTGTCAGTATGCGCACGCCAAAGCTGGAGGGTCCGAGGAAAACGCACCCCAAGCGCGAGACCAGAGTCAGGTCGAGGTTGAAGACGTCCATCAGCCACTCGACGGCAGCGGCCGACTTGTAGGTGAGGACCTTGATCAAGTCTGGGCGGGCCTTGTCGCGCGCCGACTTGAGTGTGTCATCGTAGAACTGCTTGACGCTGTCGCCAATCTTTGCATCGACCTGCGTCCTGGTGAGGGCACCGTTGATTCCGGATGTGGCCTTGGTGGAGTTGCCTCCCATGAAGTCTGCGCCGAGTCAGCATCGGCGGCGCTCTTGAGAGATGCAAAGCGGCAGGGTTGCGCAACACTTACTGTTCTTGTCAAGGAGCACTACATTGCCTCCAGCAAGGTAGATGGTGTGGGCGGCGCTCAGGCCGGATACTGCAGGTCATGTCAGTCAGTCATGCGCATCACGGCAGCGAGGGCGGCGGGAATGCATACAGCCAGCACCGACGACAATGACTCTCTCGGGCATGATGATGGATGCAGATGGAAGCCAGGACAAGGACAGAAGATGAGGAGAGTGCAGAGAGCAGGAGAGCAGAGGAAAAGCCTGGGGGAGCGGCGTCTACTTTGTATGCATGCAGCTTGTGCCTCGGAAGTGGACAATGCGCTAACCCGCATGCCCCGGCCCATGGCTGCGGGGCCAATGAGGCAGCGCGTGTTTGTCCGTCAAAGCGCGAGCCTCAGCATCGCAGCAGTTGCGCATGCGTGTGTCGATGCTATACTTACTAAGTCGAGCCGACGGTTGGCCTCCGTGCGCGTGTGTGGCATGTGAAGGAGCTGTGCATCGTGGCCAGCACCCACATGACGGGCTTGCGGGCGCTGTGGTTGGTGGGCTCGCCCCGGCCCAGCGCGTCTGCTCAGTCTGGCAAGGCCGAGGAACTGCGCTGCGGGCTTGCATCAGCGAAACCTGGGGCAAGTCACGCGTCGCGGCCGCCCAGCCCTCCGTCGGCATGTGAAGGCTGCCCGGCACACATGCAGCGTCATGCCCTGTCCGTCTGGCTGGCTGGCTGGCTGGCTGGCTGGGGCAGACCCAGGGCACGCATGTGTATTTGTTGCTGTGTGTCGCCCTGCAATGCACCGCTGCTTCGTCCCCCAAATCTCACGATGCTGGTTTGGGCAACTGTGCCCGCAACGCCGTCATAGCCCGGTCGGCCTTTGCCCGAGCCATGCCCACGACAGCCAGCGGGCCACATTGCCGTCTTGGGACGGCAGCACTCCACTCTCTTCTCATACCGACTTTTCTTCTGCCTCCAACTCGCCTTGCTTCCAACGCAAACTCCTCTCTGCACATGGCGTCTGCGTGTTCCTGAGTCCGTCCATTTCGTGGATTTCGTGGATTCCTAGCCTTCCGTCGGCTTGCCTCTTCCAGCCAAGCATCTATGTAGCTCTGCTCACCACAAACACCATCTAGACACGGACCACCAAGACTCTCATCATAGGCTTTGCAACTGCTCTGATCATTCGTCCGTCTAAACTATCCCCTTGCACCACTGCTGGCATTGCGTGATTCCCCAGCCCATGTCACTGGTGCAGTCTACTTCATCTTGTCCGGATATTGCAGGAACCAGCCGCAGTATGTGCCCCCTGCTCTCGACCGCAGAGAGCACAATCCATCTGACCGACTTTCAACCCTCTTCCGCCACTCGCCGCCATCTCAGGAGCCTCGCTCAGTGACACGCAACCGACTTGGTCGACGAAGACTCGCTGAACATGATGTATCCCACAAACGCACCCACGGCCACGGCAAGCATGATCCACCCGTTGTATGTCATGAACAACAGCCTGCACCCAGTCAGCACAGCCATCCCGCCACAGCCCAGATCCATACACTTACATGATGAAAAACGAATAAAACACCTGCACAGCATACAAGGCAGCCTTGATCATCTTGACCTGCTGCCCGCTTCCACGCCCAGCGTTTCCATTTCTCCCTGGGCCAAGTAATGAGCTCGATTCATCTGTTCGTCCGCCGTCTTCTTTGTGGCGCGCGCAAAAATACTCAGCAAGGGTTCCCACTCAAGGTCAAGGAAGTTGAAGAAAAGAGACCTCCCTAGTCTCCGACTTCCACGCTTGCGTCGTGCACACTGGGCAATTCACACACCACACCGTGTGCAAATAACCCTTGCACGGTCAAAAGGCGCGGGAGACAGCCTCTTCACGGCTCCCATTCATCCGCCAGAAAATGACAAGTAGACTCACCTCGTGGTCCCTCCAAAAGGCCCTTTGCATAGCTTTCATATCGCCTCGACATTTCCCGTATGGCTTCGTATCCCGCCGTGAGAAGCACCACGGCCAGCAGCGAGAAGATGAGCGATCCCGTGCCTGAAATGTGCCATGAGGGAAAGACGATGCAGAGGTCGGTCGTGTCCCAGGTAAACAGCATCTATTGCTTTGTTTTTAACAATGTTCAATACAAGTAGAATAGCGACCGAGGCGCATCCACACCCAGTCCCATGTGGAAAGAGCGGTTGGTTGTCGTACATTCATGTTGCACTTTGGGCCGTCGCCGCCCATGCCAGGCATGCCGTGGTCCATGTGGCCGTGGTCCATATGGCCGTGATCCATGTGTGAGTGGTCCATCGTGAGCTGCAAATGCAATAGTAGCAAACAAATACGCCAAAGATTCTCTCGTGCGTTGTAAAGGGAAAATAAGGGTGATGGAAGGAGAGAAGGAAGCGTGGAAGCTAATGCTGCTGACTTGTCACGAGACGTGCGCCGGTTTGAGGGAGTTTAGAGTGAGCACACACGCGTCGCACCAGTGATCAATGCACAAGCCCGCGGTAAAAGTGGGGCCGTCGATAAGCTTCATGCCCCCACATTCTAGACCCTACCAACCACTGTACTCTAGACTTTTGTATCCAAGACCTCGACACACCTTGGAAACTCGTAAGCGACACCTCTCCACCGTTCCGGAACTCGACGGCACTTCGGGGTATACAAGAAAACCGCGTATTCGACTGCGCGCGCAACGCTCACAATGGCGACGACAATACGATCATGGAGACCAGCTGCCGGCCTCATCCAAACCACATCGCGACGTACTATACCAATCATATCACAGTCTATACCGCGCATACAACGCTCCACACCAAGCACACCGCGACCCATCTCAACCACCACCAGCACCCCAATCGGCCCACCCTTGAACATTCCCAAATGGTAACCACTGCCCACATCCTTGCACCAGCTCCCCCCTGCCTCGCAAATACAGAAACAACCCACTAACACCATCACTCGTCGCGCGGATATAGGGTCTCCGAAAACGCACACATGCTCAAACCCCCAATCAACAACTACTGCGTCTACAACGACTCAGTCACCGTCATGATCGTCGGCGGCCCCAATCAACGCACAGACTACCACATCAACGAGACCCCCGAATGGTTCTACCAGTACAAAGGCTCCATGCTGCTCAAAATCGTCGACGAAACACAGCCTCCCGGCGCCCAATTCCGCGACATCCACATCCACGAGGGCGACATGTTCTTGCTGCCCCCCAACACGCCGCATAATCCCGTCAGGTTCAAGGACACGGTCGGCGTGGTGCTGGAGCAGAAGAGGCCAGACCGCAGTTTGGACCGCCTGAGGTGGTATTGTCAGGCCTGTGGCGACAAAGTCTATGAGGACGCTTTTCACTGTACCGATTTGGGCTCGCAGATTAAGGACGCGGTGAATGCGTTCAAGGCCGATGTGGGCAAGAGGACATGTAAGAATTGCGGGACTGTATGCGATACGGCGCCCAAGCCAAAAGATTGAAAAAAAAAGGGGGGGAGCGGGGAGATGGAATAGGTGTACGAGATGTATGTATGAGTAATTGGGAGAAAAAAAAGTAAACCTTTTTTTTTGGGGGGGGGGGGGGTCTCTGTTCATGTTAAATTACAGTCCTTTCCACATGATTTTGGATACATGATCCGTCTTCTTTCGGCTTGGTTTGACGAGACCCAGATATCTAAGCTCAGCCAATGCTCGCTGGAATAGAGCCCTGAAAAAGAAAAAGAAAAACACGTTAGCAAAATCATCTTCGTGAACGGTAAAACAAGAAGAAACCAAAAAGAAAAAAAAAAGACTTACATGGTCTTGGCCTCATTCTCCTCAATCCCATCACCCGCAATGGCATTGAACGCAGACCACAAATCGCTCACGTTGATCAAAGCCCCGGATTCAAGGTACATCTGATACACAATTGCCGTGGCGGGCTGCGTTGCCGAAAGTGCGGCTGCATTTCCATCTGCACCGCTGCAGCACTCACAACCCAGATAGTCGTGCGGAGACGCCAGCGCGCGTTCGACTGCAAACCGCGGTTTGGGCTGAAAGACCTCCATATGCGGCGACTTGAGATCGTAGACGAGCACCTCTGCCAGAAACAGCGTCTTCGGATCGATCAACGAAGCGCTCAGGTACGCTTCGAGGTCGTCGTGGAACTGCGTTACCAGGTCCGAATATGCCTTGTCTTGCTCCGACAACGCGGCTTTGTGCTTGCTCAGCAGCACTTTTTGCGCCACGACGGTAGTGCGTAGACTATCGTTGCGGACATCGTGTTGGGTGCGGAGAGGCGCATCGGCCGTCTCGAGGAGGCTTTGCAGTTTTTGCTCAGAAGAGATGATGTCCATGTTGAAGTAGGTGCCTACGACGTCTCGTAGTGATGCAAGCAGCTGTACCAGTTTATCGGATGGAATCTTCTTGATGGACAGCATCGTCTCGCGGATCAGAGGCGATCCGGCTAGCTCGCCAGCTGCGGCGCGGGTCCAGAGAGTCGAGAGCCGGACGTTGGGTGATAGTTGCAGTGATTCGCGCATGCTTGCCACGACTTTTGTAGCGTGGCTCAATGTAGCCATGGTCTGTTGACCGGATTTTAAGCTCTGCCTGATTTCTTCCAAGAGGTACTCGTCGTCTTCGAGCATTTTTCGCACATCTTGCGCGCGTCCGTTGTCCAGCATATCCTCCACCCGTTGCCGGAAAGACGGCAAGTTGCGCACAGCTTTAAAAGCATCTGCCGTCAAGCCATCGAGAGTAACATCATCAGCGAGGAATACACTAGGTACACTGGCGTAGAAATGCGACATGTACGCGTACTTGAGCCCATCACAGAAATCTTGCGTATTCTGCACATGATCTTTCTGTCGATCGAGCATGCGGCGACAAATGGTGTGTCCAATATGCAGACCAACATCAGTGCTGGCAACGGTTGCACGGAAAAGCTTTTCAATAATCTCGTCTGACTGCGTGACATCAAACTTCTGGCCTTCGAGATAGCGTAGCGAGTTGCCCGACAGGCGTTCCTCAAAACTCTCTGCAGAAGTCGCAATACCAAAGAGTAGCACAAAGGGAAGACGATCCAGCCATGAGCTGTAAGAGTCAGTACTATTTGACCGAAAGACCAGGCTCCACTTACTGCAAGAGGTCAACCATGTTAACAAGCAACCCAACATCAAAAGCCTCGCTGTCCTGCAAAGCAATCACAATACTCGAAGCCCGCATTTTCTTTTGCCATTCCTCGACATAAGCAAGGTCGTAATTGAGCAGCTTTGGACCATACCTCGACGATGCAGAGGGCCGATCTACATCATCTTCATCATCATCATCCTCCACGCGCGAAGTCACCTTTTTGATAAGATTCTTCAGCAGCGTCTTGAGGTTTGGGCATTCACTCGACGTTAGTACGACATAGGCGCTATTCTCTTCCCTGACTCTTCGGCCAAGACGTTCGAAAAAGGGTCCGTGAGATGCGATACTGGGTCCGGCAACAATGAGCGCCGTTGGTATGGCGAATTTGGCTTCATCGGGAGATGAACTTGCTGTAGAGATGAAATTGGCAATCTTTTCTTGGGTCGCGCTGTCAGCGCCTTCGAGTGTATGCTTTTGTTCATGTCAGATGCATTGGCAGAGGATTGTTTAACAACTGCCGTCTTACTTGGATGCGCTCTTCTTGTTCTGTCCATAGACGTCGGTACGTTGCTAGCCGTTCTGGCAGCTGCGCCTGCGGATTGAATTTGCTCGTCCGTTGTCGCTTGGGCGCCCGATCTTGCGTCTGCGGAGGCTCATATATGTAACACCTTTGATGCTCCATGTTGTGTTTGGTTGCAGTCACGGGGTTTCCCTGACTTGTTGATGTTGCTTACAGTGAATGGCTAGGGGCTGAGTTGGGAAAGCGCGACAATCGCGAAGCGCGTGAGCACGGGACTTGGTACGTACTAAATGGTCAAAGCTCGTTGGAAGCGCCTTGCTAAGTATACTACCAAAGACAAAGAAGACGGTTCAGTACACATGTGCTATTTCGACTGGAAATTAGAAGAAGAGTTAAAGATTTGTGCTGATTATGTGCTATTCAGGGGTCTACATCGATAGAGTTCTGACGTGGCTGGCCACGGCACCTTTAGCCAATGCAACAGCATACAGCGCAGCTTTTAAACCTTCCTAATCACGACACATTATGCGCTTGACATGTATACTTGGTAGTTGCTGTCCAGCGATTGAGGTTGTCTGCTCTAAGTGAGTAAGTCATATAAAATCTATGGACTGGAAACCATTATTGGGTAGATAGTGACTTAATCACTGGCCGCTGGAGTGCTTCCCACTCCAATATAGAGTATACTGAGAGCATCTGCTGCTGCACAAAATATTTAATGCTCTACAGCCGACTAGTACATTGCGTCGCTGTCGTCGTCCATGGGCTGAGCGAGATGCACTCTATTTTCATACCTTTGAGCTCTGGTGATATGCAAAAAGCTTAAATCCCATAATTTACTTAGTCGTGATCTTCCTCGGTCACTCCAGGACATCCGTCCATCTCTGGGTCTGGATACTCATACCCGCAATAGAGACAGTAATGGTACTTGTCACGGAGGAAAAGCAGCAGCTTTTGGAGACGCTCTGCCACCGGCAAAGCCTCGAATTCGGCAAGTTCCGGGTCTTCATCCTCGAGCTGATTTTCAAGAGTCGTGTAGAAAGGCGCTAGGTCCTTACCCTGAGCTATCTTGGAGTCGTCGTCTTCGTCCTCAGGAGCCAGTGTAGGCAGTCGTGACGCAATGCTGTTATTCAGTTCTCTCCGCTGCTGCTTATCGCGCTTTGCCTCGATTCTCCGCCGCGCTCGCGCCCGCCAAAGAACATTGATGTCCTTGAGCGGCTTCTCACTCGTGTCGCTGGCACCACTGGCCTCTGCCTCTCTGTCCGCAAGCCGCTCGGCTGTCCTCTGCGCGTTGTCCAAGTCTCTTTCGGCCTTCTTCTCTCTTTGCTCCTGTCGCATCACCTCGAGATAATCGCCCTCCTCCTCCTTTGCGCGTTTGGCAAGCCGGTCTGCCTCCTCGAATTGCTCTCTGAACTTGCGCTTCTTCTCTGACTCGAGGCCAATTCCCCCTCGATCATCTTTTAGACTAACTCGTATGGGTTCTTTCCGCGCGTCACCCGACTTCCCCAAGGCATCGCCTTGCTTGAAACCGAATTTGGCCATCATTTTGAATCCCCTATTTGTCTCAGGGAGAGCAGTGGCCAGGGCAGCTTCTCGGGCAGCTTCGGCTTCTTCTTCACGCTCAGCCTTTGTCTTCTGCCGTGCTCTGGCTTCGCCCTGGTTGGTGGTCAGCCGAGCACTACTGTGTCCAAGTGAAATGACGTACCTCTTTGCGCTTGCGCGCGGCGCGCTGCAACGACGTTTCATACTTTGGACCTTTTGGCGCATCGTCAAACACCATGTTCATGTAATCATCCTCGTCGTCTGACTGCGCCATGGTTGTTGTGCCAAGATGCGGGATGTGGGCGAAGATGTTTTTGGCAGAGTCGCGAGTCAACTCGGAAATTGCCGCTCTAGCGACCCACCATATGTAGCGCCACTTGGTGCATGCCACGGCAGCGGGGCGATCCCCCAGACTTTTCTGTCTCGACGACACGTCTTCTAGAGCTATGTAGAGCACTTGACTGCCTTTACCTCGTTGCACAATTCAAAGGCGGAGCCCGAAACTGTGTCGCAAGGGCATGTGAGGCGGTCAGAGCGGCATAGACTAGGTGTGTAAGCTCCGACGTGCTACATTCATATAGTATTGGTATAGCCGCTGTCAGCAAAAGAAAACAATAGGGTTCCAACAGCCAGGAACAGCAATCGACGCCACCCGCATGACACGGGACGGATGATCCTTTGACAAGCCTTCTAGCTTTTGAGCCGAGGATGTGCACGCGACAAGCATCACCGTTGCGAAACGACTCGATCGTGACAAAACAATCATCTACCTCCTTTTAACAGACGAATCAGCGGCCAACAGTGCCATTGAACCCTATTCCTCGTTACAGCGCAAATGTCGCGGGCCGACAGCTCAACTGCGACAGGTTCTGAGGTGTCGCAGCACAGAGTCCCTTAATTACGCATCTAAAGATTGCATGTGAAGCCGCAGGGATGTCGATCCCCCTCTACTGAGCAATAGTTTATTCAGAATACCATGTTACCTGCTCGGTTGGGCTGTGTCCTCGTCTACGAAAACGAGGCGCTGCATCCGAATACAGATCGACGGCCGGCCAGTCACTGCTGACATTGGCCCACCTTTGCTAGGGGCCTCTCAACCACTAGCTGCAATTAGAAAAGACCGTCACAAATTGGTCCAGGGTAGATATTGTTTCCTCACTCTCCGGTCCACCCACAGCTTGCTCCAGTGTTCGCGTGCCACTCTGCTCAAGCATTTTGCGCTTTTCTAGGTATTCATTCGAGCCGCTACTCAAGGCTAAGCATGACTTAACGTCTCTTGGCCTCCGCTCGTGCCACCAACTAGGTACCTTTTCAGCTGTGTGCGACCCACACGTCGTTTACAATTGGAAAACAAATAGCAAAAAAAACATGCACCAATCGACCGTCCGCTTGGACAAGCCCACCTTGCCGGGGCTCCCGTTGCCTATGGAAGGGTGGCACACATCTCGGAGTACCACCACATAAGGCTACTCTCGGACCACCCGTCCTCTATGTAGAAGCCATTGTGTGGCCCGTTACGGATCGTACCCTTTTTGACATTACTCCGGCATGTCTTATTGCTGGTCCATCGCCAATTACAACGTCGCATGAGAGGGGTTCTCGGTTCATGCTGAGCATGTGCAAGTCTTTCCATCGCTCCCCAAGCCACGACGTCTTTGCGATTCGCTTTCCCCGCATTCCATTAGCATTTGTTTGAATGATCGGATCGCCCTGGCAAAGACACTCTTGTTCTATTTAATACCGCCTCGACTCTGCGCTCTTTGTATAGCTGCAAAGTTTGGCCACCTATCGCGTGCCAGGGTACGTGAAGGCCCACAACAAACGACTTGTTCCTGGAAGTATACCTGCACACTATAGAGGAAGTATCAGGATGGACGACAAGGGAACATCGACACATACAGATGGTGTATACACCACGCCCCAGAAAAGAGGTGGGGTGATGAACAAACTCTATCCACCAGGCGAGAAGCCAGGCGTGAAAGGGCGCATGAAGAACCACTGCAGAAAGTTCTGGTGGTGCGGTGAGCTGATCTCTGAGGGTGGCTTTAACCCGCGACTTGTTCTGACATGTGGTAGACCTTCTGGTATTTGCGATCATCGTGTTGATCATCGTGTTGCCAATCATTTACGTTGCTATACCAAAGATAGCACAGCGCGAGATCAATGCTTCGACAATAGAGGTCCTTTCTCAGGAAGTCAGCAATCCCCAACCAGATAGTATCCATCTGAAGCTCGACACGGTCATCAGGAGTAATAGCAGCTATCACCCCAAGATCGACGGTTTCCGCGGTGCTCTATCCATTGCAGGACAAGAACCCTTCTTGTACATTGACATTCCCGAGGTGAAATCCGAGGCAGAGACACCCGTCACTGTTGACCAGGAACTCCAGCTCGCAAACAAAGATGCCTTTTCAAACTACACCAAGCTCGTCCTAGGCAGCGAGGAATTCTCAATCCATCTCGACGGCAAAACCCACATCCACCTTGGCGGCCTTCCCACCATGGACGTCAACTACAACAAGGTTGTCACAATGAAGGGTATGTGACCCATTTCCCTTACCACCGAAAAGAAAAACTAACACAAACCCTCCAGGTCTCAACAAACTCGCCGGCCTCAACATCACCGACGTCAGCATCCTCTCAGGCGACAAACTCCTCGCTGACAACTCCAACCTCGTCGCCCAAGTCAGCATCCCCAACCCCTCGGTCATGACCCTCGACCTCGGCAACGTAACCATGAACCTGGCCGTTGACGGCACGCCCATCGGCTACTGTCTCATCCCCAACGTCCTCCTCAAACCGGGCGCCAACACCTTCCCGCTCCAGAGCCACGCCGACCAGCTTACCATCCTCGGGCTCATCCAGTCAAAGTACAAGAACGCGGTCCTGCCGCTCCAGATTTCGGGCAATTCGAGCGTGAGAAATGGAGAGCACCTGGTGTACTATGAGGATGCGATTAAGAGTAATGTTATTAATCTGGAATTGAATGTTGGGCCCGCGCTCGCGGCTGTGGGGATTAACATTACGAGTATTGGGTAGGTTCAGAAAAGGAGAAAGATGGAGGAGGGATGGGATGGATGTAATGTGGTTGGTGGTAGTTAATGGTTGGAGAGATGAGGGTGTGTTGGGAGGATAGTATAGTGAAGTGCTTGTGTGATATCCCATCGTTTGTAAAAAGTATCATTCGTTAACATTTCCTCTTTGCGACTTTTTTTAGGGGGTGATGCGTGTGATATTGGTTGGTCTCTTCCTAGCATCTCGTTGACTAGCAGAGCACAAACTTATGTCACATATTCTTATGACCAGGCACTTTCCATATATTCTCACCACCCACTCCTCTATTTCTCATAACAAACTCAACACACTCTCACCCCTCAATCTCCCACTCATCCACAAAAAACTCCACAACACCCACCGCATCCCGCTTCCCAACCGCACTCTCCAGCTTCCTCAAACTTCTCTTATCCCCAGCCGCAGCCGCAAGCGCCAACGGCACAAGCTCCCTCAGACTCCCCACCACATCGCTCAAAGCAATGACTTGGGCTTCGTTCAAGGGTGGCTCGGTAGTGCAGTAAGGAAGGAGATCGTGGACCGTGTTGCCTGTGGGACGGGACTGTTGGTGTAGAGGCGGCGGTGGTGGTGGTGGTGGGACTGGTAGAGACAGCATGATTGGAATGTTACGAGCGCGAAGAGTTGGTTGGATACTGTGTTGGTGACGAGGATACGAGAGGGTACTGAATTGAGCAAAGTTTGGATCGTGGGTGGAATGGTGGACATGATGGTGTTCGAATCCACCGTCTATCTGGGGGAGAGTGGGTGGTTTCGTAGGTTGGGTGGTGGTATGAGTTTGCGTAGTTGCGGCTGTGGTTTTGTCTGCTTCGCGGGGAGAGAGTAGTAGGTGATGATAGTGATATTGGAGTTGATGTGGTGAAGCCACTATGGTAGTTTAACTATTGGTACATACGGGCATTTGCTGGGGGTAGTAAGTGGTACTTACTTTGGTAGGTCGTGAATGAGTAGAGTGGAGTAGCGCGGCGGGTAGATTCAGGGATGTAAGTTGGGGCTAGAGAATAGCTGTTGTGTTATATGCCTGTTTACACAGGTTGGAGATATCTGGTTGACATTGTGATGAGAGTAGCATTCCTGGGTCCGTGAATCAAAGGAAGGAGCACAGGGGTAAGGATATAGGAGAAGGAGCAACCGACTTCCATCTGCTCTTGGTCCGTCATAACCACAAACTTCAATCCAACTGTGTGGTTACACAGATATAATCAGGGCTATCACCTGCATGAGGCTCCAGAATGACAATAGGTAAGTGGTTGATATTGATACATCTAGTTTGACTCTATACTCTATACATGCCAATTTTGGCTGAAGACGAACAGCTTGTCCCCGCAAGTGATATTGTCTCTGTGGACTTATCTCTGATACGAACCAGATCAAATATCCAAGAAGCAAGACTGCATGTGAATGTATTGTGCCCGCCCTCTTTTTTTTAAAGAAACACACACGCCTACGTCCGCAACCGGAAGGGTATCATGAGAGGGGAGTATGAAAATGATAAGAGAAGGACTGGGCCGCCAAGGTCAGGTCTCTCGCGTGTGCAATCCCAAGTCTTTTGGTCGAGAGGCCTTGTCGGTTGGCTGCTGTTCGGTAGCTTGATTCTCAGCCTGAACTGCTGAGTCGATGGTGGTTGTGATGCCAGTAGTCGCGGACTTTGCGGCTTTTGCAGGTTCAGCTCCCTTGTCCTCAGCGCGTCCCTTCCAAAAGCCCAACAGCTTGGAAGACGTGGGCTCAGGATGTTTTGCTTTGAATTCCTCAAACTCTGCTTTGACGGCCCTCAGTTCAGCCTGCACTTCCTCTAGGTCTTCCCTGATATCGTCTCTGGCGTTCTTGGCCTTTCTCCTTTGCCGCCACTGCTCCACGAGGATCACTGCAATGCCGACAGCGAAGATGAAGGATTCGGCAACAAAGTTTGCGCCCATCTCAATGGCCTTTTGTTCGGAGAGAGGCCGAATGCGGGGCCTGGCTCTTTCTTCCGCCTTCTTCCTGATCGCTTCCCGCTCCCTCTCCGTGAGAGCTTCTTCCGCCTTGGTCTGCTCCTCAGTCAAGACGGTGGGCGCTGCCGCCTCCTTCCGTCTGGCCTCTGCCAAGGCAACTTCCTTTTTGATCTGCCGATCGATGACGGCGGGGTCTTGAAGGAGGCCCAGGCGCATACGCATGTCGACGCGATGCAGTCCTTGGGCAAATTTGACGCATATTCGACGAAAGCGTTCGTGCTCGTGGGCATTGCGTTTTATCGCATTCTAGCTGGGGTGAGTAGCGATTCTCGACACGGGCCGGCGCGTGGACATACTGCTACAGGCTTCGCAAGCGTCCTGACGAAAAGCGAGGTGACTTTGAGGGTGAGGGACATGTTCGGTCACGACTGTGCTGCGGCTACCTAGAATGTGGATATGTACAGGAAATTGATGAGCGGACGGGGGTTCGTCGCAGGCTCTACAGGGACGAAGACATATCCAAGGTTGGACGACAGCCTTTGGTGGTCATGTATGCTCGTGGTGGTTGATCATGGTTCGGAGCCGAATGTTGGATTTGCAGTTGCCTGACGACCGCCCGCACCTCATCGACCCGATCCACAGACGGCGGACAACAAGGCCCGACCAGACGATGCGGAGCAACAACAAAACACGATCCAATGCACTAGAGCCACATGGTCACACGACAACTAGCTCGAATGCGGCACTGGCACTGGCTATAGACTGTGACGAGATGTATGTACTATGTATGTATCAGGCCAAAGGTTATGCACGCAGCAGTGCAGCAGTGCACGGATCGGGAAGTACCCCCATGGCCCTAGCAACGGCGCTAAGCCGCGGCGTGTTTACGACCATCAACACTGCGACTTGAGTTCATCATCCTCACACTCCATCGCCAATGTCTGCCTCAACGATACACGCAGATGCCCCGCCGGCTGTGGTGCAGGACCCCGAAGGCCTTCAGTATGAGACGGGAGTGCAGCTCGGAAAAGGTGGCTTCGCCATATGCCATCGCGCGAAGCTGCTGGGCCACGAGCACCTCGGCAGCAGCACCGTCGCTTTGAAAATCGTCAAATCCAAAATGGAGCCTCCCAAGCTGGCGCAAAAGGTGCAGCAGACCTCGAGGGCAAAGATGCGACCCGCGCTAACACCGCCTGCAGTTTGTGACCGAGCTCCAGATCCACTCGAAGCTATCCCATCCCAACATTGTCGAGTTCTTCCGCGCCTTCTCCTTCGAGGCGAGCACCTACGTTGTTCTCGAGCTGGCCGAGAACGGCTCGCTGGCGGATGCGATCAAGAAACGCAAATACTTCACCATGCCTGAGATCCGCCGATTTATGATCCAAACATGCGGCGCCATCAAGTACCTGCACCAGCGCAACATCGTGCATCGTGATCTCAAGACCGGCAATCTGTTTCTCGACCGCGACATGAATGTCAAGGTCGGCGACTTTGGCCTCGCCGCGCTATTGGTGTCGCAGAGCGACTACGGGGCGATCCGTCGAACAACCATGTGCGGCACACCCAACTACCTTGCCCCAGAAGTCCTCGAGAAGACTGGAAAGGGCCACGACGAGAAGGTTGATCTTTGGGCTATCGGAATCATGATGTACACACTCGCCGTGGGCAGGGCGCCGTTCCATGCTGCGAAGCGCGAAGACATTTACCGAAAACTAAAGGCTCGCGAATACACCTGGCCAGATCTTGCAAAGTTTGCCAACGAGATCACCGACGACCTGCGCGACATTGTTTCCCTACTACTCGTACACGAAGATGAGCGACCAACACCCGACCAGATCGTTGCGCATCCATTTTTCAAGCTTGGCTATATCCCGTTAGAGCTCGATAGCGGCTGTACCTCGAGGATTCCAAAATGGCCCAAGAACCACCCACCAAGTGCTTCGACAATCAGACGCGGATACACGGAAGAATGGTGGCAGCTTTGCAAATCATCTGCCGTTGGCGAATACGAGCCCGGAAAGTCGTTCGGAGCGTACGGCCGCAGGTCGAACAAGACAGTAGCAAGAGACTGCCAGAAGGAGATTGAAGCTGGCAAGCAGCCCAATATTCCATTTGCCAAGGACGTCGTATATGTGCCTTTCCCTGCGCGCGTGCAATGGCCTCACCAAGCTCCTGGGGGTCTGAGCGAGATTTCAGAGGAAAAGGAATCATCATCAGAAGGTCACGCACTTTCGGAAACCACTGGCAATGACCGAGTCAAAATCCGTGTACCCAGAGCTTCAAGGAGAGAGCAACCACCAGTACAGACACTCAAGGAGAACACGGACCCAGATCAAGAACCCGAACAAGCGCACCGAATTTTGGACAAACAACCTACTCGACTCAGGGCGGTTCGTAAAATATCAAACCCTGGTCGTGTGACGGCAAACACAGCAACAGCACCTGCCCCATTACGCGTTCCTCGTGAGGCACGGGCGTCAACTCGTTCGAGAGCGGTGAAAGAACCCACCAAGGAAACGTCAAAGACCAGCTCAACAGGACTTCCGGATCTCCCACCACTACGAGTTGTTAAAGCAAGCACTCGGGAGAGCGAGAAATCGGAGCAGTTGTCTCACTCGTCGGGTTCGCGAAGCGCTCCTCGTTACCGCACTATTGGCTCGGATATGCCTTCAACGGACCCAGTGGCAGTATTGGCGCGTCTGATGACATTCCGAGACAACCTCGAGAGAGTGCTGGACAAGAAGCCGACCAAGTCAAGGCGCGAGCAGCCACCACAATTGCCATTTGTCGCAAAGTGGGTAGACTACAGCCGACGATATGGTGTTGGATATGTTCTCAGCGACGGCAGTATCGGAACGCTGTTGTCGGCCGAGGAGCAACATCCGGTGACGATAGCGTTTGCGACTGACGGATACAATCATCTCCGAAAAGCCGGAGGCAACCGAGAGGTGGCCAAGAGCGTGGCGCTGAACTACTATACGACTGTCAAGAAGGACCGAGGACTGTCGCAAATCGAAGTGCTTGATTCGCGACGCGTCGAAGAGATCCGAACAGTATGGCATAAGTTTGGAAAGTACATGTGCGCAACGTTTGGCGACGAGGAGAAGCCTCTAAGGAAAGATCCACGCGTCAACTTTGTCCGGTTCTACCAGCGGTTGGGCAATGTGGGAATCTGGGGGTTTGACGATGGGTCGTTCCAGGTAAGCACTTTGTTGGAATCATTTCTTGAGCCAAACTAACAGTTGGCAGTTCAACTTTCCCGACCACACCAAGCTTGTTCTTTCGTCGGATGCCGGATATGGACACTTTTTGTGTCTGCCACTTGATGCTACATCTCTTCTCGAGGAAACGGGCAGCGTACCGTGGAGACACGTGAAGGCCCGTGCTAATCTGCGAGGCTCTCTGCAACAGCTTCTCTATGGCTCGGCAGATAAGGAAGACAGCTACAAGGAGCTGACGGAAAGCAATCTGCTGCGGGCCAAGATTGAATTCATCTACGCCGTGGTTGTGGAATGGTGCCAGCAAGGAGGGCTTGGGTGTCTGGCCGACCCCAAGATGTACTCATGGGGCGGCCCTCAACTCGAGGAATCTAGACGGTTAGACTGGGCGAGTGTCGGGCGTTTTGGAGGCGATGTTTTCTCATGATGACTGAACGACTACTTCTTTGGCGGGCAAGCGACGGCGTTGTACCCTGTTGTGGGGTTGTTCTCTTTTCTTTTTTTGGATATATTTTTACAAGGACGATGGGCATTTGGAACAGGCTGGAGTTGCACTGGGCCCAGTGCTCGCCTTTATTCGGACGCTCATTTTACGACGGGTTGCATATCCAGGGGCGTTAGGGCGGGTGGCAGCTGGTAGTGCTGAAGAATGACGATTCGATTGCAGAGAGCCAATGTTGATTCGAGTGCTGGTGCCAATGTTGATGCCTAAGGCGTGACGGGGCGACACGTAAGCGGCCACATGTGTACGCGGCGGAGTGGTGGGCGAGAACAGCAGGCAGCAGGGCGGGCGAAGCGGCCCAATGGAGAGCAGTGCACAGTGTGTTGGCCCCGTTCACCCAGGCACAGAGGCGAGGAGGGTGTACGTGCAATGCATGTGTGGCGTGTGTGCGTGCGAAGGGGGTGTGTGTATGTATGTAGGTATGTATGTACGCATGTCGTAGTAGTAGTTCAATGGACCCAAGGCAACTATGCCGCCGCCGCCCTGTGCTTGCGCGTCCGCCAATTGGCTGTGGCTGTGCTGGGGCGAGGCGATTCCGACGAGCCCGATTGAAGGCTTGCCTTGTCCTGGCCGGTTCCTCTCTGACGTTGGTCTCCGTCTTCGAGATCACCGCGGCCAACTCAGCACACCCATACTTTTGAGCGGCCGCTCCTCACCCTCCAAAACCACCTCTGAGCTTCTGGCCCTTGACGCCTATTGACATCATCTCTGCCGTATCCCGCGCGCAGTACGACACACACTTCCCCCCACCGCTGGCCGACTGTAGCTACCAGTCCCAGCTCGAGATCGGGCATCAACCATGGTACTCGCCCAAAAAGCTGCTCTATACAAACGATACTCGGCTAATGCATGCGGTGTGTAGGGGAAAACCAACCGCGCAGCGCGCAAGGCCGTTGGTGGCCAGCCCGCCGCGAGGGCTGCCCCCAAGGCCCAGTTCGCAACAAAGGCCGTCTTCGAGACGACCAAGAAGAAGGAGGTCGGAGTCTCAGATCTGACTCTGATCAGTAAAATCTCAAACGAAGCCATCAACGACAACTTGAAGAAGCGATTCGAGAATGGCGAGATCTACGTGCGTCAACCCGCCTGCCCCGACCCCGCGCCGCATACACATGCACTCACATACACACACGCATATCACCACACTGGCACACCGACTGACAATGGGCGCAGACATATATCGGACACGTCCTGGTGTCTGTCAATCCCTTCCGCGACTGTACGAGGACTCCGCATGCGCTTGCACAAGACTGATGCTAACAGCTGGCAGTGGGCATATACACCGACCAGGTGCTCGAGGGCTACAAGGGAAAGAACAGGCTCGAGGTGCGGCGCATACTGAAAACAACTCCCCAGTACTCACATGGCTGATCGAGCATAGGTCCCACCTCACGTTTTCGCAATTGCCGAGTCTGCCTACTACAACATGAACGCATACAAAGAAAACCAGTGTGTCATCATCTCCGGCGAGTCGGGAGCAGGAAAGACAGAGGCCGCCAAGCGACTCATGCAGTACATTGCAAACGTGTCCGGCGGAAGCAACTCGTCCATTCAAGAGATCAAGGACATGGTGCTGGCCACTAACCCTCTCCTCGAGTCCTTTGGAAACGCAAAGACACTGAGAAACAACAACTCGTCGCGGTTCGGAAAGTACCTCGAGATCCACTTCAATGCACAGGGCGAGCCGGTCGGAGCAAAC